TGGTTCTCTGGAGCTGGTTGAGTGGCCACAAGGGCATGGACCGTTACACCCTTACATTGATCAGTCATTGGCACAAGCTGCCCCGGAAAGAGGTGGGACCTTGGACAAGGCAGTTTTCTGCCCCTGAGGTACCCTGCCTCCCGACAAAGACGGCTGCAGCTGGAGGCTGTCTTCCAGCAGAAATGAGGCTTTCATATCTGAAGCAGAAGACACATCATAACATCCATCACCCACATATCATCTTATTTAATTCTCACAGCAGTCTAATAGAACTGGTATTATTATTGTCCCCATTTTACAAATGAGAAAACTGAGGCTCAGAGAAAGATGAACGTGCTTTACACAAGGCCACGTGGCTAGTGTGGGGGCAGAGCTGTGATTCCAACCCAGGCTGGCCAGCACCCCTCCATCTCTGCTTCTGAACCTGGCTTTGTCTTAGTTAATTTGCCCCAAGACCCCCTCAAGGTCACAGCTTCCAAGAAAGATGCCCCAGGCGTCTTTGCTAGAAGCTACCTGAGACCCTGATGCTGGGAGGGATTGGGGGCGGGAGGAGAAGGGGACAACAGAGGATGAGATGGCTGGATGGCATCACCGACTCGATGTGCATGAGTTTGAGTAAACTCCGGGAGTTTGTGATGGACAGGGAGGCCTGGTGTGCTGTGATTCATGGGGTGGCAAAGAGTTGGACACGACTGAGCGACTGAACTGACTGACTGACCCGAGACTAACACATTGTAAATCAGCTACACTCCAGTACAAATTTTTTAAAAAATGATGAACTCTAAGCACTTTTAAAATCCGACTTTTGATTAAAATTAAGTTGAGGCCAGAGGCTTCCAGCTTCAGGACTGGGTACCTGGAGTGGACACAATTACTCTGAAGGATGCAGAACCCTGAATTAGTCATTAGCTTTTATTTAGATACGACAAGTGCAACAAATATTTACATAACCAGTTGTCATGGAGTTCAAGGGAAAGCCATATTTATTCTGTATCTTGTTGTCATAAAGTCAATTTTCTGTCCAAGTGCTTTTCCTGAGGGGACAAGGAGTGTTCCTAAAATATCAAAAGGTTTCTTCTAATAGTTTCAAGGACTGTCGACTTTCACTTTTGAGACTGAGTATTCGTGATGGGAAACTAAATTTGTTAAGGAAATTTGTCGAAAACTGTTTGTTTACTTAAAGTTGTTACCTTCGATTTTTACAGGAGGTTGGCTTCTTTCACTAGCTCTGTGAAGATGAGCCCACATGGGCCTCACAAATCAAGTTTGAATGAGTCCAACCAGCACACACAACGGTGCCCTTCTCAGTTAGGAACATACATAAAGGCATTCTTCCTTCTAGAAAGATTATTTCACAAGGAAAATAAGTGAAAAATGAAAACATTAAAAACACAACATAGAAATCTTGAAAACACGGTGGAGCCTTGATTTTCTGTAACAACTGTGAGAGGCCTCCTGGAACCAGGGTCTGTCTGTCTGTCTGCTGACCTGCTCAGGCCAGGACCACAGGCCATACTTCACTCCAGCATCGTGGTCAGTCCTGCTGTTAAGATGGTGGCTTGGTCTTGGGGTGCTGGGAGGTGTGTTCTTGACATCCCCAGGAGTCAGAATGTGACCTTATTTGGAGATGACAGAGGGAATCAAGTAAAATGAGGTCCTCAGGGTGGATCCTACTCCAGCATGACTGGTGTCCTTATAAAACAGGGAAATCTGTATACTACACACATAGCAGGAAAAGCACATGATGGAAGAAGGGAGAAGACTGCTGTCTCTAAGCCAAGGAGAGAACCTGGAGCAGATCTTTCGTTCCCAGTTCTTGGAGGGAACTAAACCTGCCCACACCTCGAATCTGACGTGCAATCCCCAGGTCCTGGGGACAGTCCATTTCTGTTGTTTAAGCCCCTTGATTGTGGTGTTGGGTTGGCCGTAATGTCTTATAGAAAAACTTGAATGAACTTTTTGGCCAACCCAATACTTTCTTGTGGCAGCCCCAGCAGGCTGATACCTTCTCAGGTGTTCCTGATTTCTCCTGTTTTAGTGGGAGTTTCGTCAACTACCTTGTTCTGTGCACCCTGCCTGAGTGCCAAGGGGCAGAAGTCTAACTTCCTGATGAGGGCACAAGCTGCCAGAGTATTTTCTAGAAAGTCACCCCAGATGCCCACCCCCACCCCTGCTGATGTGTGCAGTCACCATCATGGCAGATAGCCCTGGACTCATTCACGGGTACTTCTGCCCCGTCCTCCCTCTGCTCTGCTAACCAGCTAGCCTCACTGTCCCCACGCCTGCCTCCTGTGGGCCGTGAACCCTCCTGCTGTTCATTTTCGCTGGCCTCAGTGCCACCGCGATATTTCTATTCAAATAGTGCCCTGTGTCCTTGCCCTTTCATGCTGGCCCCCAAGACAGCCTGTTAACGGCGTCAGTCACACCAGAGGGACACTCTGGGGCCAGCACCCGTCAGGCTGGGATTCATTTCCCTCTCTAGGTTCTCGGTCTTTCTTGGGTGCCATCTTTTAAAGGGAAATTGGCACCGAGTTGAAGATAGCAGATCCAGAAAGTGTGAGAAGAAATGCATTTTCCACTGGAGAGCCAGGGAAATGCTTTAAATATAAGCCGTGAGTGCAGTTGCAGAGTTGGGCGTTGTGAGTGAGAGCCCCGTGTGTGTGTAAACCCAGGGGACCCAGGGTGCGGTCCTGGGTTGGTGTGTGTGAGCACAGGTGCTGGTGTCCGTGCAAGGATGCGTGTACCTAAGTGCCGATCTGTGCGTGAGGTGCGCACACTGCCGTGTGCGCAGATAGGTGGAACTGAGAACACGCATGTGCATGTGGTTTGTAAGTGCATGGGTGCTGGGTCTGCAGCGGGCAGCAGGAGGAGTTGGAATGGGACTGGTTTGTATGTGGGTCCCGGAGGAGGTTTTCTGAGGGATGAACATCCAGCTCCCTCTGCCCCGCGCTGTCCTTGTCACTTTGCTGCTGAGTCTGTGCTTAGAGGCAGATGTTTCAACTTCCTCGGGCCCCTCGATGAGCTGCGTCTATCCTGCTTGCCTGCTCTCATACGTGTGGTCTCTGCTGAGAACTTGGAAGCACAGGCAGTGTCCTTCTGCCATGAGCCTGGCTGCAAAGATTCCCCTCTGCATTGCATGGTTCATTCTAAGAGGTGGGGTCCACCACAGCCCTACTCACGCCAGCTGGGTCGTGGCCACATATCGTTTAAGCCTGCTCTGGACATGGCCCAAAGGTGGCTTTTAGCTGTAGCATTCTCTGGTCACTCTGATACTTGCCCTTTAGTGTAATGTAGCAATGCAATATGTGGGGCACCCATGCTGGGAACCTTGGCCCTCCCAGCCCTTCCAGTTTAGAGAGAGAATACAGGTGAAGTTATCTGGTACTCTGTTAAGGAAGCCCTCAGTAAAGGTTGTTGATGTGGATGGAGGTCAGCGAGGTTACCCTGCCTTCTTTCCTAGCTTGCAGATCTTCATATTGGGCCTGTGGCTCTGCTGTCTCCTTGGTTTCAGTACTAACTTCTCAGCAGATGAGAAACCCCTAGCCCCGAAGCCCCGTGGAACCCCACCAGTGAGATCAGCCTCCACCCTAACTCACTAACTCACGAGGGGTCGTTAGACAGGTTTCAGTCAACTTGAATTCTGTGTTGAGCCTTGCCTCACTTGAAGTGCCAGCCAGTCCTCCAGGTCAGGAAGCCAGGCCTGTCTCCCCTGCTGCCCACCAGGTCCCTCTCCCCAGGTGGACCCTCAGGGAGACCTAGCCGGTGACGGCCTATCATGTGTGATGATGCCAAGGTGAATTCAGGGACCAGGTGGGACTGGGGCATCCTGGGTGCATTTCCCGGGACTTGCAGAGCTCAGCGATGCTCAGGGATGCTCCCCTGGGGCAGAGTTGAGGGGTCTAAAGGGTAAGGTCCCCATGGATGGAGAGGTGATGGTCTCTGAAACCACATGCTCAGGTCCTATGCAGGTGCACTGCCTGGAGCACCCATCTTATTCTGCACACCCTCTGGTCATTGAAGACATAGCAGCATCTGCCTTACCTTGCCTTTGGGGTATCTTTATCGCTCCTGAGTGCCCCCCACAGACCTGGACACACAGCAGGTGGTCCCTCTCTGCTTCCATTCCACCCTCATCTTCTGTCACTTTCTGGTGTTTTTGGACACTAAACTTCTGTTCATAGTCTGTTTCTCCTCCCCATCATTTGTCCCTCTTGTGAAATAATTGACTTCCAAGAGGGCAGAGCCAGGAGCCAGTTTGTGGAGCTTTGTGGAGGATCACATGATGTCAGTATAGGGTTGCCAGATTAAATATAGGATGCTGTACATTTGAATTTCTGATAAAGAACAAATGCTTTTTTTTTTTCTGTTCTTACAACAGGCTGAGTGTTTGTGTCCACCAAAATTTCATATGTTGCAGCCTAACCCTCAATGTGGTGTTGGGAGTTGTTAGGTCATGAGGGTGGGGCCCTGATGAATGGGATTAGTGCCCTTATAAAAGGGACCCTAGAGAGCTCCCTGGCCCCTTTCACCATAAGCAGACACAGAGAAGACTGGCTATGAACCAGGAAGTGAGCCTTTCTCAGACATTGAATATGCTGGTGCCTTGATCTTGGATGACCCAGCATCTGGGACTGTGAGAAAAAAGTGTTTGTTGTTTTAGCTAGCCAGGCGAGGGTATTTTGTTACAGCAGCCCAAATGGACTAAGATGGAAATAAGTGTGTCTGGTGCAGTATTTGGGACAAACCTGCTGTGAATTGTGTCTCTCTGCAAAATGCACCCCAGTCCCAACCCCTGGTGCCTGTAAATAAGACCTCACTTGGAAATAGGACCTTTGCAGATGTAATCAGGTGAAGATGAGGTCATACTGGAGTAGGGTGTGCCCTAAACCCAATGTGGCTGGTATCCTTGTAAAGAGAGGGAAAGAGGCCCAGAAAGGGAAGGTGGCTGTGTGGAGACATGGAGATGTGGGGAGAGCGTCACGTGGTGACAGAGGCTGAGGTCAGTGCTGCACATGGGCCAGCCTCGGGCTGATGGCAGCATGAGACGCGGAGGTGACAGAGGCCGAGGTCAGCGCTGCACGTGCGCCAGCCTCGGGCTGATGGCAACACGAGACGCGGAGGTGACAGAGGCCGAGGTCAGCGCTGCACGTGCGCCAGCCTTGGGCTGATGGCAACACGAGACGCGAAGGGAAAGGTGTGGGGCAGAGTCTCCCCCAGGTACTCTAGGGAGTGCAGGGCCTTGCCCACACCGCGACTTCCGACTTCCAGCCTCCAAGACTGTGAAAGGCTAATTAAAGCCACCCGGTTTGTGCTTCTTGTCCCAGCAGCTCTAGGAAACAAATACACTTATAAAAATTATCCGTTGTTTGTCTGAAACTCACATGTAACGGGACCTCCTGCACTTTTGTCTGCTGTGTCTGGCCCTGGTTCTCTCCTCTGTAAGACTGTCAGTGATGCCGCCTTGTTTCCCTTAGGACTCGGCATCCACTGAGATCTCTGGAGTGAGTGGGGGTCCTGCTGCGAGGCAGAGCCCTGTCTGTCCTTTTTTCGGACCCCCTGCTCAGTTCTGTAGCTCACGCACCAACTCAATCTCTTTCTTCATTAAAGATGAAAGAAAAAGAAGAGTGTCTTGCCATTTGCGACAACATGGATGGACGCTGAGGACATCATGCTAAATGAAATAAGTCAGAGAAAGACAAATGCTATATGTTCTCACTTACATGGGGAATCAAAGAAATAAACAACAAACAGCCAAACTCATAGATACAGAGAAGATTGGTAGTTGCCATAGGTGGTGGTGAGGGATGGGTGAAATGGGTAAAGGGGGTCAAAAGATACAAACTTCCAGTTACAAGATAAATAAGTTCTGGTGAAGTAATATGCAGCATGGTGACTGTAGTTAATAATATTGGATTGAATAGTTTAAAGCTGCTAAGAGTAGATGTTTAAAGTTCTCATCACAAGAAAGAATTTGTGAATCCATGTAGTGATGAATGTTGACTTAACGGTGGTGATCATTTTGCAATATATACAAATATTGAATCATGTACGCCTGAAACTAATATGTTGTATGTTATTAATAATATTTCAGTTACAAAAAGACGGAAGAACTCACCTTAAAACCCTGCAGTAGCTGGGTGGCCCTGGAGAGGGAGAGCTGACTGCACCTGACTCCTGTGGCTGGGGTGGGGAGGTGGGGGTGGAGGGGGGTGGGGTGTCCCCTGGAGCCTCAGGCTGCTGGTGTATGGGCAGGTGGATGGGTCAGTGTCTGGGTGCTTGTGAGCTGTGCCCCTGGGTAGTGTTTGCAGCCCTGACAGGACCACAAGTTACTGTGTGGTCATGGGCAGGTCCCTGTTCCTCCCTTTGGTTTCCCCAACTGTGAAAGGAGAGAGGTGGCTCTACCTCAAAGCCTCTAACAATGCCACCCCCACCCCTCCAATCCTAACCTTCTCCGTGACTCCTGCTTGCCACGTCTGTTTCTTGGGGGAAGTGCACTTCAGTTACAATCCTGATCTGGAGCTAATTCTTCCAGAGATCGACAGGCCTGCAGACACACCCTCTCCCTTCTGTGCTGGCATGATTCAGGCACCCCCAGAGGGCCTCTCTGCCCCAGAGCCTGCTTTAAGCCTGACCCTGGTCCTGCCGTGGGGGCCTCCTCCTCTCCTTCAGAACAGAGCTGGGGGGCAGGCTGAGGAAAGCTGCTGTCCCCAAGGGAGTTCTCACGATGACCACTGAGCGGCCGCCTGGCAGGAGATCTGAATGTGGGCAGCGTCCATCCACCACCCGGTCACCGCCTAAAGTCTGGGGATGTACACTCAGGTTTAGGGAAGAGGGGAGGCGAGGTAGTGGAGGTCAGATGGTTAGTCAGTGCAGAATCCAAGCAGGTGAGGGATAATCACCTGTGTAAATGGGGCTAGTATCTGTTGGTCAGTTTTAAAAGGGACGATGCCTGTGTATGAAAAGGAAGCAACTTCTCTGCTGCAGTTGTAGACACACAGCGCCTAAGTGAGCATAGGTGGGGAGGGCTGGGAGAAGGGCCCCGGGCTTCTAGTCCTGGTGTGCTGAATGTGCCTGTCCTGGGCTGTCCTGGGGGTGTCCTGGGCTGTCCTAGGGTGTCATGGGGTGTCCTGAGGTGTTCTGAGCTATCATGGGGTATCCTGGGCTGTCATGGGGTGTCCTGAGCTGGCCTGGGGTGTCATGGGGTGTCCTGAGCTGTCATGGGGCACCCTGGGCTGCCCTGGGGGTGTCCTGAGCTGTCCTGGGCTGTGCTAGAGTGTCCTGGGCTGTCCTAGGGTGTCCTGAGCTGTCCTGGGGGCGTCCTGGGCTGTGCTGGAGTGTCCTGGGCTGTCCTAGGGTGTCCTGGGGTGTCCTGAGCTGTCCTGGGGTGTCCTGAGCTGTCCTGGACTGCTCTGGGTATGCCCTGTGTGAGTTCAGTTAGCCTCTGGGCACCACTGGCCTGTTTTCCTGTTAAAGTGGTGATGTTGATATCCTCTGTCAGGGACATCGTGGCATCCGAAGAGCTTGGCAGAGGCCAGGCCCCAGGCCGACGGTTGCCATGCGGTAGGGGCGCTCTCCACATTTATTCAGCTGAGACTTGGCTGGGCTTGACCCTGGGATGCAGGGAGAAGCGCTTCTTCCTCACCTGGAAGCTACCGTCCAGACAACAGCCCTATGCCAAGGCCACTGTGGTCAGGGCTGCAGGAAGAGGTGGCCTGGGGGCTGGGGGGTCTGTGGGGGACAGTCAGAGGTGGTCCCCAGCACCCTCTAGTGATTGAGGCTGTGCCTGCAAGTGGAGCTGTCCACGGGCCTGTCAGGAGTGTCTGAGCGGTACGCTAGCTCTAAGACCTCCCGTGGTCTTCCCTGGATCAGGGACTCTTCCTCAGAGCTTTTCCGAGAGGAGTAGAGCCTGAAGGTTTCTGCTGGCCTGGCGCCCTGAGCAGGGAGGAGAGGGACAGTAGCCCCCTGGCTCTGGGGCTGTAGACTGGCCTGTTGAAGCCTGTGTGAGGCTCTGCTCCTGCCCCGCCCTTCCCAGAGTGGCCCAGCCTGTCCCTGACCCCGGGTGTCACCCCCGAGCTGCCCCTGATGCCTTCCCCCGCCTTCCCAATCCTACCCACCCCCCACCCTGGCTCCCCTGGGGCCTCTGTGCAGGCCCGGCGTGTCGAGGGTTGGACTGAAGGGTCCAGGGGCCAAGCTGGTTTCCACACACGGGAGGAGTCGGCACTGCCGGGGACAGCTCTGTCATCGGGGCGCTGTCCCTCATCTCTTCCCCACCCCCGACAGGCCTGGCCGCCCGCTGTGGAATGATTGGGCTTGACATGTTCATTTGCTGCCTGTTAAAAGTCCATTTTCTGGGCCCGAGCCGGCGCCGGTGGGGCGGGCTCGAAGGCCTCGCTGTGGACCAGCTGCCGCAGCCGCTTTACATGCGGCATAAATATTAGTCTCTCTGAGAAGGAGGCTTGACTGCATTGTCTTTGGCGGGGGGACGTGACTGGGCTGTTTGCCTACATTCCTCTCTGGCCTCGCCTCGCTCAGCAGCCCCTTCCAGAACTCTGGAGAGCTGGGTGTTGGCTGAACTCAGTTCCAGGTGCGATGCAGCGCCCAGGTTCCCCACAGGGAAGAATCCCATCCCGGACAGTGGAGGGGGCAAGAGCGTGTGTGGGCGGCAGCCTGGTGTTCCTCTGTTGGGAAGCGCTGGGTCGCTCACTTCCCTCCTTGACCTCGGCCTCTTCCTCTGCAGACCGGGAACGATGACCCTATGCAGCCTCCTGTTTCTACACACGCTCCTCGGTGGGCAGGGCCTTGAGGGCGGGGCTGATGTGCACGCCTGGTGCCCCGCTTGGAGTAGGGGCACCTGCCTGCCCTGCTCGCACCTTGCCCGGGGTGGGCCTTGCCTCTGGAGTCACCAAACCTGGGCGTGAACCCTGACCTCATCTCCTCCACCCACAGGGAGCAACAGGCTCAGTGTTGCGGTTGAAGTGACACAGGATCTTGTCCAGGTCATTGTGGACACAGACACACCCCTGAACAAAGTGATTTCCAGCAGTTTCAAGTGCTGTGACTACGGGCTCCGCTGACCCGGGTGATGACTGTCTCTGAGAGAAAGTGACGCAGCTGTGCTGAGACCTGAACCTGTGTGACCCTGGGTTTCTACTCGGCAAGGTGGTGATGGAGGTCCCGCGCCTTGCCTGAGCTGTAAGGCTTAAATGAGATTGTACATGGGGAGGGTCTGGCCACTGTGGGAGCGCCTCTAGGCCTCTGAACAAGTGCCCCTTAGCATCTGGCTGTTCTCTCCGGTGACCATGTGGCTTCTCACCGCATCTTCAGGTTCAGGCTTCCCACACATCAGTGTGAATCCACGTCATCGGGGTTGTGGGGCAGGGGAAGAAACGTGTTACAAATACAGATTCTCAGGCCTCCCTGCAGTCCTGCAGCAGAGCAGGACTGGGACCCTGGAGTCTGTGTTTTTACACGCACTGCATGAGACATGGGTGGCTCATGAAAACACTGGGAGTTGTGGCTTAGAACCCCTGCCCCCCAGCACCCCAGGAGACACTGTATCCCTCCTCCAGCCTTAAAGACCCTACTCTGTAAATAAGCGGGCTGGTGGTTTTGGGGGTGCAACTTGCTTCTGCCCCAGCAGATCTGGAAAAAACTGCTCTGAGAGCCGAGGCCTCTCTGGTCTCAGTTCTGGGCAGGGTTTGCCCACTGGACCGTGTGAAATGCTGCTTTGAAATAACCAGCTGCTCAGAATCCCAAAGTGTCCTGAATTGATTAACACGCAGAATGTCTTCTGAGAGCTTGATGGGGAATGTTAAGAACCACCGCTCCCCTGGAATGATGTGCTGAGGGGGAGCGGTTGTCAGGTCCAGCAGACAGAGGGCAGCAGGGCGTGCTTCATCCCATGTAAGAGGAAGACGGTGCCCCAGGGGTGGCCGGCCGGTGGGTGGTCAGTGGGCGGGGAGGGGGGTGTCCTGGGTGCGTTGGGGCCACTCTGAGAGGTCCAGAGGCTCAGCCCAGGGTCTTCTACTCCACCCCACCATCTTCCCGCTGCTTCCCTGGCCTGAAGCTTTCTCACAGACCCAGGCGCCTCATCAACATGTATCACACATGCTAGTGTAATAACAGCTGCTAATTATATATCTTGGCTATTACCCCACTGCTGGT